AGAGGGGTTTTGTGGAGATTTTAGTAATTTTAATAGTTGAATTCATGAGTCAATTGAAGCTAGCCCACCATAGAAAACCTGGAAACACGAGACCGATAAGTCTTGGGTTCGAATCTTGTGGAGTGAGATCGTGGATGTGCACTGCTGAGGAATCTCACAATAGGATGAAACGGCCATCTAGTGCTTCCAGGTTTTCATGAATTGAACTATAATGAATTTAATTTATTGAAAATTACATTTTTGTCTAGTCATAACTTGAAAATAGAATCTTCATTTAAATTAACACGAATTAACATTAACTACTGAATAAAAATATTTTCAATATAAAGTTTTAAAAATTGTTCTTGTTGGAAACACTTCCCTAGACATATTTGCAAACAGTAGATGATTGTGTAAATAGATGATTTGAATTCTTATCATTATGCTCGCAATTTATTTTCGAGGTAATGATAAAAACCCCTTCATTTTTAGCATAACAGTGAAAAATATAGTTGACTCCTAATCATGTGTTTGTTGGAAAATGACAGAGATGAGTCTTTGCAGTTTTATTGAGAAACGGTTAGTGATGTTCATTCATCTCGGCGGGGAATCAGTTACTCGTTGACGACGCTGGGTAACTAACATGCCATATTGATAACTGAATGAAGTGATTAGAAAGAAGTGAACCCTTGTACTTCAGCTCTACGATCCAAACCTAATGGGCATGATGAGAAGGATGAAGTTTCTAGGTTAGAGTTCTGATGTGTTTGGGGTTTGTAATCCTTTAGAGTCTCATGCTAGAGCAAGAAATCCACCCAGTGCTACACGGTACTCAACGATTTCTCAATTCTTAACGAGTGGACAATCAAGTCAATTGCTTATAGCAAATATTTGATATTTATTAAATTCTACTAAAATAAAAAGTTGTTTAAGGTTTCGCAGAATTTTGTAATCGTTTTATTAGACTATAAACCATTTGTACAGGTTAGTAAGAAATAGGTATCTTAATTTGGATCCAGGTTTAAATGAAATTCTAATTTTTATTTTGAAAGCCTTTGTATGTTTCCATAATAAACTCTGAACTAACATTGGGCTCAGTTTTCTCGAAACATAAAGTTAATTATCTCCTATCTGTACAAATATTAAATATATTTGTTATAACTAGCTAGTTATGTACATAAAACACATAGTCTATGCATGCCTTTCTTGAAGGTTCCACAAATTTCTACGATGCCACAAGTTATGAAACTCAGATAAAAATATGACAGTAGTTAAGATATTTTCTTCCTTACCAAATGTTTAAAGAAACAAGAGACACATTGAAATTCATGTGTCAAACATGTTATACAGTACAAAACTGATTGGAAATGTTTACACTTGAAGATTGTAGCATATAATGAACATTCAATAAAACGTTTATTATAAATCTGAATATTTAGAGTTTAATTGTAAATTAAAGATGATTTTTTGTACAATTTTGTGTATTTTGATCTGAGGACTCTTAACTATTACCTTATTTATGATATTGAGTGAAGTGTTTATTATGATCATTAAATTTCAACTTTTGGTCGATTTCCATGGAATATTTCTATTGAAAATTATGAGTATCCACATTTCTCTAAATCTAATTCATTGTAAAAAACATTATTTGTTACCATACATTTACATTGATGTTTATTCCACAATATAAACTATTTTCACATTTATATTAACAAAAAGATAATCTAGAAGCCTCATTGTGTAGAAGGTTATTCATTATTGGTCTTGAATTTATTCTTTGAATTGACCTATTTTATTGTATCCTGTTTACATCTACAAATGTACTAGAATAAATACTCAAGATTTGCATCATTATTTTCTCATTTAATCATGTGTGTTAATTATCAATAGCTTCTTTTATTTGATAATCATTATGGAAACCAACACATATTAACGTGATCTAAGTACTTTATATGCATTTTTATAGTCCATTGTATTATGAATTAAAGTACACATTTCATTTTAGATGTAATTGTTATCATTAAAATCTACAGGTTAATTCTAATATGTTTTATCAGTATGAAGGTATTTGTAAAGAATGCATATGTTAAAATTTAATTTACTGAAAAAAACAAGTTATCCCTTGTTAATAAATAGTGTATTACAATCTGAAACAATAAAGAGAATTCATAAAAATGTACGTATATTTAACGCACTTCCCAGATTAAATTCACTTTGTATTGTCTGTTCGAATCTTCCAATTGATTTTTAGAATTACAATTGATCAGTCACTTATTGGAATATGTGTATCCTGTACAGATCGACTCGATATTGCTTTAATTTACAAACATTATAAGCAAAGGTGAATGATGACTGGCAGTGGAATCCAGGACAAGTGTTTTGTGAATGCGAAGATTCAAACAAACAATACAAAGTAGATTTAAACTTTACCTAACTGTACAAGATAGCAGCTATCAGGACTCAGTAGCTGAGTGAAGAACGCGATGGCATTTGAAGCGAACGGTGCTAAATCTGAGTCTCGGAGTGGACGTCAACTCTTTGATGAAGACACATCCAGCTGACGAGTTCAAAATAGGACGAAACGCGCGTCACAGATCCCACTCTTACCCACCATCCACCTTAACTTCCCCTATTATTGCAAGATTAAAATCAAAGTTTATAAATTTTCAACAGGTATCTGAAAATATAAACTATGAAGTGCAGTGAATTACACTGTCAAATCACTTGGTTTTATACGTTTGTTAGATCAGCATATCTATAAACTTTATTGTTTTATTGAAATCACGAACCGATTGATGTTAAACCAGCATTAAAAACCTGGAAGTACTGGGCGGCCATTTCGTCCTATTGTGGGACTCCTCAGCAGTGTGAATCCACGATCCCTCTCGTGAGATTCAAACTCAAGGTCTTCAGTCTCGCACACGAACGCTTAACCTCTCACGAGCGGGATCATAGATGTGCTCTGCTTAGGAGTTCCACAATAGGACGAAATGACCATCCAGTGCTTCTAGGTTTTCAATGGTGGTCTAACATTAAACGGTTCATGATCTCAATAAAAAAGCTTAATAATCTCCACAACCTTATATTCATAAACTTAATATGTGAACATATAAGATAGAAATTAAAACACGTAGATAGTCTTTCATTGCAATTCAACTTGTTTCAAAGTATTTTATTTGGAAGTGATTTAAATTTTAATTATTCGTAATATCAGGAAACTGGTACTGCTTTTAATAGTCTTTTTCAGTTAATTTAGTTTCTTTCTCTCTTAAATTTGTATCGCCTTATGTTGGGCAAGAAATTTCATTATAAACTAATATACATTAGATTTTAATAAAATTCACCGTATTTTTTTACAGGTTACTACCCTATCAACATAATATTACAGTAATAAAATTCTAGTTTATTACTTTTAATATATATTTTTCCTTTATATCTTTAAAGAAAATCTGGTTTAAGTGTTTGCTTACTGATCTAAGTTCATTACATTGAAAAGTTTTGCTTTAAAAGTGAATTAGTTCTTAAGTGGTTCTGATATAATCCAAAATAACAAATTAAGTGATTACTTGATAAGAGATAAACAGATTTTTGTTTTCAAAAATTTTTTTTCTTAATCCTTCTACTTACACAAAACAAGAAAACTAATTTCTAGGTAATCAGGTTAAAGAGAAAAATGTTAAGATACTGTTGCCTTCACTTATTGAGATAATTTGAGATGTTCTAGTGATTGGGTGGAAGGATTTTTTTTTCGTTTCAAACATCATATTTAAATATTTATTCCTATTTAATCATAGGGAGTTTTTATGTCAAACCTTTAATTTTTTTTAAAAATATTTCTCTTATGTTTACCTCAGATTCCTACTCATACTATGACGTCATAAGACTCTTTATATTTAGTAATATAAAGGAGAAATCTAGACTGATCTGATGGTTTGCCTAGTTTATTTGAACGTAGAATATGTTGATAGCAAACATGAACCTTTAGCTTGATCCATAGATAAATATCTAATTCTTTGTGTCGTAAGCACATTGGGATAACTTTTTCAATGATTAAATATTTTCCTCAACTGTAGATATTGGATAAATGAGAGGAATAAGTTGTATATTTTATAATAAATGATTTGGTTTTTCATATGTTAATTAAAATAAATCAGTATGCATACATCATTCATATAGGTCTTTTCTTATTTATGAAGTGATGTAATAGACGGAAAGCCAATTAAATAGATCATAATAATAAAAAACCATAACATTCACTACAATATGAACTAGTGATTGTCCACTTATGATTTGCCGTTAAAAATTATTGCTGTACAATATTATTAGTTAACGTTAATAAAAAGTAATCACACCGAAGCAATAGTTTCTATCGGTAAAACAATCAAATGTCAATGAAAAAATATTTTTTTATTAAACAAATAATTTTAATGATGATGAAGTCAGAAAATGACGTCGAACGAACGTGTATTCCATGAATTCTAGAGAAATAGAGCTACAGCAAATTACAAAATAACACTAAATAATATCTATTATACTTTGAACTAATCAGTACTTGAAATTGTTCGTTTTTTTCTAATATGAGAAGATTTGTATAGTTAAATTCAATGGGTCGTTAAAACGTTTGATCCAGAACACTCCAAGTATTTGTAATATGTACCACTGATTGAGAATACTATTATATGATATAATGATTGGTAGACTGTTACATTTCATTCCACATGTAGACTATACCATAACTTTGTCGCTATTTTCCATACAAACTTGGAAGGTTTCCGATGGTTAGAAATATGCAAAAAGTAGGTTACGTAATATGCAATAATTCACTGACAGCTCAATAGTCAGTCTGCATATATAAATTCATGGGTTATAATCCCTATTTTACTGGTTTGGCGTCTTTTATGTAACGCATTCTTTTGACATTTTAACTAAAATACTCATTGATACATGAATAAAAATTTGTTTGAAAAAAACTATCTTAAAATTGTTTAAAAGAAACCCTATTCCATTATTGTAAAACATACCGTCCTTTAGCTGAAAGATTTTTAACTTCTTGTATGGATATTCGAAGTGATACATCTTTGTGTTGTTCATTTTCCAATTCCGGTTTGGCACGTCTGCGTAAACTGTTTGTTTGTTTTTTAAAAAAAGAAAATAGTTGAAAACAGAAAATAGTGTTAACAATGAAATTTTTTAATTAAATATAACAGAATTTTATTTTAGAGTAACAAAATATTCTCTGAAGAAGTGACTTACATCAAGTCACGAAACGTCAGAAAATCTAATTTTTTTACTCATTGGGATATTACAAATATATAATTTATTTATAAAATGACGTACAGTTTTCATCGGAAATCATTGCAAATACATTGTTATTAGTAGTCTGTTTTTCACTTATAAATCACAGCATAACCTTGTAATAAAACAATTATTAAATTTACTTGATATTGTTTACTTGAATCTTCCGATTGATGTATAGGACTATAATTGATTAGTCTCTTATTGGCATATATGCATCCTGTGCGTAGTGCCACGATATTGCGTTAATTCACAAACATTATGAGCAAAGATGTATAGTGGCTAGCAGTGGAATCTAGGACGTGCGTATCGTTCTATTTGAGACTCGTCAGCTGGATGTACCTGTATCTCAGAGTTGATGTTCGCTCTGAGACTTGAACCCAGTAACGTTCGCTTTAAACGCCATCGCGTGATCCACTTAATTACTGAGTCCTGATGGCTACTTGAGTGAACATCAACTCTGAGATGCAGGTACATTCAGCTGACGAGTCCCAAGTAAAACGAAACTCTCATCCTTTATCTCACTGCTAGCCACTATACATCTTTGCTTATAAAGCAATTATTACTTGTAATTATTAAAAATGAAATCCAGTGAAGACAATGAATTGTTTGTAATATAGACAAAGCAGTTTTCATCCGTCTAAATAGCTTACATATGGCTTAACATATTATATGTAAATATCAAAAGATGAAAAGCTTAATTATACGAGTCTAGTACCCTCAGTTTAAACCCAACCCTAACAAAAATAGGTAGTAATTAGTAATGGAATTTAAATACTGTACAAGTTAAATAAACAATGTTTGATACAATAATCAATATTTTGAAGATAAGTAAAATTTAATTACTAAAATATTCTTTCAAAGAAACAAATTAACTTTGATTAAAAGCAATTGAAACAAACTAACAAATTGTAACTATTGACAAATTCATATTAACTAAGAAACGTTATTCAATAATTTACATAAACAAAAGACATTCATTCAATTTAAATAATAAACAATAAACAAAGTGACATAGACATCGATGATATATCAAAACAAATAAAGATTTTGTTTAAATAAACAAATTATGACAGAAAATAATCAAAATCAAATTGAACTTATTTCATTGATGAAAAATAATAATAAAAGAAAATGATAAAGTTTTAGAATGAAGAAAGAAATAAAATTAGGAAGTGTCATTGTAGTTTGACTAAATGCGGTCAATAATACATATATCATAATGATTTCGGATGTGATACATAGAAGTGATAGTTATCTTGAACATGAAATAACTAAAGCTTTAAGATAAATTATGACAGAAATTGTCAAAGCATAAGTTAAATATAATTTTATATATATGGTTGGTTTATGGCTTAAGTTAAGGGAAGATGAATTGTATCTGGAGTACTATGTGATCATGACTATGATGTATTCTGTAATCTATAGGCGTCAGAAGGCTTCAAAAAGTAAACCATAATTTAATCCGTCACCCAAATATACATAACATTTAAGTTGCCCTAAATTTTAGTACATTTAAATGTCATTGAAAGAAAAGGTTTTCTGCTTATAGTTGGTGTTATATTCTACTACTGATGGTTACTTTAATCAAATTAGTTTGAAATCGGCATGTATACGCTTGGTAATACAATACGGGTGTTTATATCTGATTATTTTAAATTATTTTAAACTTTTCAGAAAATATGCATATTTATTTAAGCCTTGAAGATGAATAACACAAACATCTAAATGAATAATTGGTTAGGTAACAAATATATATATATATATATATATATGAAAGTATCAAATAAATTACTGACCGAATATTATTGTTGAAGCAGTGGCTCAAAGGAAATATTTTGTTCATGACTAACAAAAAGCGTACCAAGTATACACAATATTCAGTCACAAGATGTAGTTGCAGTTAAGAGAGTAATTCAAAAGATATCAAAATATCATTTACTTCTAATGGAAACTTTCAGAATGACTTTTAGATGATGGCACTCTGATTCTTACTTTTGATTGAATTTTCATGAGGAAAATTCTCGAGCTCAGACGACCTTTTCTAAGGAATCGATGCATGTACGTTAACTTTGTGATCATTAGTATCAACCCAAAAATCATTGAAGCTGCATATTACGTGGCTTTGAAATAAGACTAACCGATGGCAAACTAATTATTCAGTGGTATAGATTATGTAACTAGACAATACAAGAAACAACTAGTTTATCGATCGAAGAAATCAGTTATCTAATCCACAGGGAAAATCCTGAACTGCTATTTATTTTGTGTATGTGTGTTGGTGTGAATCACAGCATTTTTTTCTCAACTTTTCCTTTAACTAAATAAAGAATGTTGCTTTTAATGCTTCAAAAATACTTTTGTGTGTCTAGCAGCAAAGATAGGTAGTGATTAGAATATTCTAGCCACCTTTGCTAAATATTTCAAATTTTCACTTACTTTAGTTAAAAGTTGTTCACTAAACATGAAAATTTTGTAAACCTATTATGTCCTAACGTTTAAAAACATAAAGAGAAAAGTAATTTATTTTAGAAAATCGTCTGGAAGTTTTCAGATTTTAAGCATAGCAGTTCGTTTGGTTAGGCTTCCGGTGAACGGTCATTATACATAAGCCCATTATTTCTAAAGAAAATTTTTACTAAATAATAATTCTCTTTATTTCATAACCAGGTTACACAGGGGAAAATTCACTCTACAATGAATACCAAAATCCCTGGTCACGTAGATTAGTATAATGACCATTTAAAAATATTACAATGTATTATTGAAGAACATTTTGCTTCATTCGAGATTTGTTGTTGACATGCTTTTGTGAGTTATTACATGATATGAATCTGGTTGAGTGAGACACATGTAAAGAAACATTTTTTTTAATTATCTAATAATCGGTAATAGATCTAATGAAAATACAGCTAAGGATAAATCTTGCTGAACACCTTGCATATCAACAGAACCTAATGAACTCAATTCCAGTGGTCGAAAAACAAAAATATCACTCTATCACGCTATTCTGTATTATTCACCATTTCACACCCGTTTAACTCTATTAAACCAGTGAATTACTCTTTTACTAGTGACTAAATAATAAGGAATGTTGGTTGTAAAAGAAAATTAAAATTTGCATAAAAAAGATTATTTGAGTTATGTGTGAAAATCCTATGGGAGAAAAAACGATGGAAAATAAACAAATATTTGAGAAATCAATGACATAGGTTAACTCTATATTTATTTATTTCAATGATGATTGAAACCACGGAAAGATATATGTTTTACAGCTATTAAGAACCTGAAATCATCGGACGACCGTTTCGTACTAGTATATGACTCCTCAGAAGTATGCACTCATGACCATGAAACGGCGAATCAAACCCAGGACCTTCAAGCACATACGAAAACGCCAAACTCTAGACCATTAATTCATAATCCAATACTGCACAAGTTTAACTTCAGTCAAACCACGACCGTTTTTCATTTTCATCGATGAGTGTCTTCCTCAAATCCGATACGGATGAACTCCATTAGTCACGACTTCTTATCTGAACTACGAAAATTTCCTCTTGAAGCTAACCACCACTGAATACACGACTACTACTGCACACAACATTGAGATGTCTCATACTAAGGCGAGACGGCCATCCGGTGCTTTCAGATTATTATTGGTTGTCTAACTAAGATGAATTATTGATTTTATATGAAACTACTTAATTCCCTAGATCCCATTCTGAATTAACTCACCAAAAAATAATTATGGAAATACAACGTCTATGTTTACATTTGTTAAAGAATTTAAATACTATTTTAAACTTCTATTCCACTGCTACCAAAGATTATTCTGCAGAAGAATATATAGGGAAATTACAGTAAGAAAAACAAATATATCGATCATTAATATTGTTGATACAATAATCTCTGTTAAAGTGTTTTTAATCGCTTGTCAGATTATTGATATAACAACCCACAATATATTTGTTTATTATTATATTCATTTCTTAAAGCAATAATATGATTTGTTTAAAAATTTGTTTCAAGGATGCTTGCGTCATTGATTACTCATACATATATGAAACATACCATAGAAACATGTGCAAAATGCTTTATATCCTTATGAACGGATTACCAACGAATTACATTTACTTTTATTGACCTTCTTTAAACAACCAAAACTAACTATTATACACTGTAAACATATAAATAAATAAATAAATATTGTTTTGCTAGTAGAAATAAAAGGCATACCTTTTATGGAAGCAAATAGCTGTAGTAAATAGGAATCCGTTTATTTATTTTTTGTATTTATATTGATGATTTAACTCATTTAATTAAGAAATCCATAATGTTGAATATTTTGAAGTTATATGTAACTGATTTGCTATTTGTGATACTCTTAGTTACATTTATGAATAAAATGAATTCAAGTTTAGAAATCAGTTTTTCCAAGGTTTTAAGTACGTTTATAATAATAAGAGAGAAGTGACAACAGAGCTCATTTCAGGATTCCTGATAGAAAAATGAATGTATTTCTCTTTTGTAAACTATATGGATAAGTTAATATAATTGTACTATTTAAACTTCGATTAATTTTGATTTGGTTATTTATTCTCTGAGGAGGCGGCTTACATTAAGTTACGAAACGTCAGAAAATTTAATTTTTCTACGGATTTGGATATTACAAAAATATATTAGTCAATTTATTATTTTGAATAGTTTTAGTGAAAAGAACGAATTAATTACTGACATATTTATCTTCAAATGTCTCTTGTTTTCTTGTCAGAAATATTTAGGAAGGAAAGCATTACATAAACAATTTGATTGATAAAGTAAATATTTT